TATATCTTAAGGAAACTTGTATATCTAAGCAAGTATTTCTAGAAATAGTATAATATACTATTTCTTTAAGGGGTTCAATTAGTACACATATTATGTGCACTAATTGAACCCCTTTAAGTATACCTAACTTATTTATATAAAAAAAAAATCAAATCTGTTCGTAATGGACGAAGATATGACTATTATTTATACATTAATTCGATTGTATGTTTTTTGTGTGTATGTTAAGTCACCTAAAAAGTAACATAAAAACGTTTGTATCAACCTTCACGCAGCGCCTTTTTATAAAAATGTATGAACACCTAAGCAGTGTAGTGATTATTTATTATTTCAAATAGTAAATTTAGGTTGCCTAGTACATTTCTAGCTGTTATAAATAGCGCGTTCAAATATTTATACAATCGTGCACGCAAGTGGTAAATTAAAAAAATTACACAAATATAGAAATAAAGAAAAGTGTAGTGATTCACGCGTGCTAAAACATGGAATAAATATAAAATAAAAATTGCCAGATCGTATCGCGGACGCATATTTATCGGCAAAAGGATGCGGCGAACGTCGATATGGAATATAGTTTCATAACTAGATAGTATATACTATTTAGTAGAACTATGACACATATTTACAGTTTAAAAAATTATGTTATTTGCGTTAAAATACGTAAATTGTTGCCACTTCGCGCTTCTAGTCCCTATTACATTGACTTCCGAATTTAGTTTTAATTTTAGAATGAGCGTAAACACTCATCTTCTACAGCTAGTTTTAAATTGTAAAATAATTTTTGCCGAAAAAATCCGTACGTACGAGCATACTTGCGGAGCCTACTACTAAAATCGTAATATGAAAGTTATACGAAGAATACTAAAGCCTGGCGTCGACTACAGCAGAAATGCGTCGAATTGAAGCGAGTCGCATTTATTCCTAGAGCGTCCATGTCCGACGAATCGAATCGAATCGTTCATTCATCGCAAATTCTTCATCAAAATAGGTCGTCTTTGCGTCATATACAGCTCGGATGAATAGATGTTTTTATTTTAAATACTTTTTGATTAAGAAGAGGAGAAAAGAAAAAGGAAACGGGGTGCTCCCGAATACTGGATACACGACATTTATTTGAAAAGAAATAACTTTCATAATTCATTCATAATTCTCCCAATTTCTTCCCATATGTTCATCTGACGCTGGTCATCGTGATAAAGTGAATCTTCATGATTAAACAATTCTAGATATTGTTGGACCAGTGATATCAATAATTCTTCATTCATTTTTATTTAAACAAAATGATTCTTACGAAAATGAAATAGAAATTAATAAAAATTCGTTGGCGCGTATCCACTTCTCCGCGTCGACTGAGGCGCGCCGAGTTTAATCGAATCGCACTGGCGAATAAATTCGCCTGTCAAGCAATTCGCGCGGTCGATTCAATTCGGCGCGCCGCGGCTCGTCGCTAATGGAACGCAGCTTCATAGTAAATATATAGGAGGCGACTTTCTGCGATTTGATTCGACCCGGCTCGGCGAGCCTAGTGGACGCTTAGCCTTAGAAACCTGCCTCAAGTCTGTCTGTATCTATTACCTATTTGAACTAGGTGTAGAACTGTCAATATTTTAATTCCCTAGGACGTAACTTTTTTGGTCCGTTAAATAATTACATTGTTTTTCACGTAGGTAGATACGTATGCCTGAACTTTGAACATATTAATTTTAGCTGAACTGAACAAAATGTAAAAATTCCCTCTCCCAGAATAAAGGTGACGAACGAGCACACAGTCCACTTAATGGTAAGTGGTTGCTGTGGCCCATAGATAATCTACATCTATCCTTGATTAAGAATCAAAATGCAGATGTGTTGTCACTCGTGAGGACTAAGATGGAATGCCTCGTTTCCAGTAAAAAGGGTCTCCGGTTCTCTACACTCACCAATCACCATACGAAACACAGCAGCGTTAAGCTACTATTTTACGCTGGTATTCTATGAGAGCGTGCTCCTTCCCCGGTCGAGCCGACCCATTCGTGCTACAAGTATATCAGTAATAAAGCTGCAGCAAGGTTCTACCACGTAAAAACATTACGCCTATGACAACAAGTCGATCGCGATACATTTATAAGATAAAAAAGTAGATCGTATTTGTTTGCCACAGGTCGTTTCTGAACTCCGTAAAGAGAACTGCAACCGCCGCATTATCCTCCATCACGACAATGCGAGTTCTCACACCGCACACAGAACAAAAGAGTTTTTAGAGCAAGAAAACATAGAATTATTAGACCATCCGCCGTACAGCCACGACCTCAGCCCTAATGATTTCTATACTTTCCCTAAAATAAAGAACAAATTGCGTGGACAGACATTTTCATCACCTGAGAAGCTGTGGACGCCTACAAAACGGCCATTTTGGAGACCCCAACTTCCGAATGGAATGGTTGCTTCAATGATTGGTTTCATCGTATGGAAAAATGTGTCAAATTTCGCGGAGAATACTTCGAAAAGCAATAAATACATTTTTAAATAGTAATGTTGTGTCACTTCCTTGATTCCCGAAATTTTCAGTGCCGCCCTCGTATCACATTAAATTACTATATTATTCATCTGAATATAAAAGTCAGATTTCCAAGTTTAATTTAAGTACTAAAAATAAAATAAACAATTTTATTATATTTTTTCCCTGATTTGTTATGGATATGTATTATAAATGTGTATTTTTTATGAATCAATCAGCAGGGAGTCGATGAATGCATGAGGCTCAGGGCGGTGCTTTGTGGCATTCCTTGGAGGAGGCCTATGTTCAGCAGTGAACCTGTGAAGGGCTGCAATGATGATGATGATGATGATGATGATGATGATGATGGTGATGGTGGTGATGATGATCAATCAATGTGGCGTTATTTAGCTTTAAGGTAATCATAACGTAAAGACCATACCATTTTGTACTATGTTATCCCTTTTTAGCTACGGAAGATATTTTTTTACATTGATGTTGTTCAGTATAAACTTTGCTAACAAATCATATCAAGCAAGATATATATATATATATATATATATATATATATATATATCTTATATATATATATATATATATATATATCTTATATATATATATATATATATATATCTTATATATATATATATATATATATATATCTTATAATAGAGATAAGATAATATATATCTTATTTCTATATCTTTATATATAAAAATTACGTATCACGTTGTTTGTCCGCGGTGAACTCCTAAACTATTGAACTGATTTCACCTAAATGTTGTACACTGTGTGCAATTTGGTCCAACTTGAGAGATAGGATACTTTTTATCCCGATAAGTGACCTTCAATATTTTTTTATTGCGAATTTAAGGAATTTTTCATAGGAAGGGTCTTTGGAAAGGGCAGAACAACGTCTGCCTGGCCAGCTAGTATATATATATATATATATATATATATATATATATATATATATATATATATATATATATATATATTTCTATCTTGAATTTGTCATGAAATATACACGATAACTTTTCAGAATTATTCAGAACTTAAAGCTTCAATTTGTACAATAAATAAATAACGGGTAATAATCATGCAAATTTTTCGACAAATCATATTTTGTTGTCCTACTGACCGCGATTAAAAATTCGTAAGCGTGACTAGACACTAAAATGGCCATTAATTACACTATAATCCTTATCGTAATCTAAGTGCAATATAACGGAATAATGTTTTGCCATACCGAACGGTTACCGAACGGTTACTGACCTCCAATTATCATATGGTTAGAATATGCTACATTAATTTTGTAAAGGAAAAAGTAATACATTGCATTATCATTATTTGAATGGCAAAACACGTAATTTCGAGATTACAATTACAATTTACATATGCAGTTCGATTACATATAAAGAGACTTCGATATCGTAATATTAAATTGCCTAAGATACCATGCTTGGCAGGCGGGTTGGCAACCGCTGTTCGTTATTATAAGTTGTTAGGCTAAGCTGATGCCCATCCTCCATCTCATTTCCATCTGCCACCTCTTAGGACATTCACAAAATGATATTAATAGATATTAGATTCTCTTTCGCCGCCATTACACGACGAAACATTTATTAAAAAATTAATATTGTAAATTAACGGGACCTGTTTTAATAATGACTCGGTGCCGGAAAAGACACGAGCCTTCTTTTTACTAGGTTGTTTGTGAGTCGTAGAGTGCATATACGCAATTTGTATCTATACGTATCTAATGCTAAGGCCTAAATGAATAAGTCCAGATTTTTAATGTCCCTTCTGGGCCACGCAAAGTAACAAAAGCACACGATTTTTAACATGAAATAATGACCAAAAATAATTGACGTTGTTTTTGTATGGGCTTCACCGAAATGCCAGTCAATATATCGTATAGGTATCGGTATGAGCACATTCCTAAATTAGATTTTTTAATAATAACATTAAAGGAAAAATTACTAAAACTTTTCATTTAAATAAACATTAAAGACATCAAACCTGATAAACTTTTGAGACCTAAAATGGTTATTAAACAGATAAATAAAATATAATGTATGAAGCTGTATAATCAGTTGTTATCTAACGTCACTGGATGATAAAAAGGAAAACAAAACATTCGGGTCCTCGAACGCAAAGAAAAATATACTTAATTCGAATGCCAGTTTACCGAAAGTTGGTCAGTCCCGCGCCGGCGCCAGTATCGATCGCATGAATCAGCACCAGTGTGAGAGTGTAAGACTCTAATTTCTTCGATATTTGGACATGGTCCGTTTTGCTACTGGGCTTCCTTCCTGTGAATCATGACTTGAATGGAGAGGCCGATTACAGTCGGGTGGAGAGCACATGGCGCCACGAGCGCCGCACAAACACGTCCGAGTATATCGCGTATTGCGGCGTTACGCATAAATATATATTTTAATAGTTAAATGTTTTAAGTGAAAAGTTCAATTTACAAAACGAAGTGTACTGGTAAATCAGAGTGATTGTTGTTTTAAGAATAATGGAGTTACAATTTTATTTGTTTTTGTTCACGTTTCCATTGCTCTTGAGATGTAAGTTATTTTCTAAAATATTTACCACACATTTACGTACTAGTATCTTCAACAAATTTTGAAATAAACATGGAGTACTCAAGAAGATATCTTCCTATGTATGAAGTAAAATAATTACATTATAATTCTGTTTTAAAAGTATACAATTAGAGCTCAGATTGTAGAACAAATAGATATATGTACCAAAGAAATGATTTCATGTTTCATATAGAAATAAAATATTTTCGTCGTATTATATGATAAATCGTCATCGTGTTAAATAATATAAAATATTTAATAAGAACTATTTTACACATGGCACAAATAACTTTTTCGTAAAGTACTGGAAATATTGTCACAACAAAGGAATGTATTTGGCCAAAGAAGTCATTGCCACAATGTACTAAAATATTAAGCCGCTGTTGAGTGCCTAGGGTCTATTTTTAAAACGCTTTCAATTGTCACGAAACAAATTAATATTTTACTGTAGTAAAATTTAAAATGTCTTACAAGATCGTTCTTTGGAAAAAACTTTCATTTGGAAAATACCCTATTACAATTACCTATTTTATATTATAAATGCCTAGCTGTCTAACAACAATATAACTTTTCTAACATTTACTTACTTAATTAATACACAATTTCATATTTTTGTTTTTTATATGTAATAGCAAAATAAAGCATTAAAAATTAAAATAATTTATATGTCGTTAAATCAAAACGTATTAATTATAAAAAAAAATCTATGGGATAGTATGCTTCAACTTAAAAATCCAAGTAAGAGAACCATGTAAGTAAGAAAAAAATGTGGTTGTTAATTAATACAACTTTTTTTTACCACAGAATAAATAATAGTGCAAGAAGTTTTACTAAAACCAGCCAGCCCAGTTAACCAGCTTATTTTCATCTCGTTTAATTACTTTTTCTCATAGCCAACAATATTTCTCAAATGAATTATAGTTTTATAATTGCCTTAAACTGCGATCACTAATTGAACTTGTAATTAATTTGCGTGCTTTAAATTTTATCGTTTAAAAGCAGGCAAGCTATACATAATATAAGACATATCATGTTATTATACTTGAAAGTGTTTTTATTAGATATCGCGTGTACCGCTTGCATTGCTTGATAATAATAAAAATAATTTAACTGCCAATAATTGTCTAATAATTGAGATCTAACTTAATCATTTTTTTAATTCTTAACACGTCAATACAACTTTCAGGATGAAATTTGTGTCCTTTCTACCTTTCTTATAATATATCTACATCTAATATGCATCCCACAACAAAACCATACAAGTATATTAATTACTTCATCTGATTTAAACGAACTATTTTCAAAGTTTGCTACGCCGTACTTTGCTTGAATTATCCTTGTAAACAAAATGGATAAATACAGAATTAATATTATAATAACACACATTTTCCTTGACTATATTATTTAACGAATACAATGTATAATTTAAAAAAGCATGTGGTGTAACATAAGTTTAGGTACATTTAAAAAAGATAAATAGATTACTTCATTATCACAGTAATTATACAAATGGAATGTATTTATGTGCTTTCTACAAACACTCATATCTTTTCACTACAAATATTATGTTTGATTAAGAAAGAGTCCCGAAATAACAATTAATATAACGAAGGTATAACAAAATATATTACGTCTTTTTTTTTAAAGAGATGTAAGGGCTGTACATTTTTTTTTTCCAATTGAATGCCAATAAAATCCGTGAAATCGGTTTTATTCAATAAGTAGTATTTTCGTAAAAGTGCGATTACGAGACGTGCGATTGAATGCTAGCGAAAAACTACACTAACAGAAACTTAATGAACAAATACTTAATGAAAGTCACTCATTTGTTTAAAATTTACAACTAGTTCTAAACATAACCTCTGTCCTCTGTCCTGGGAAGAGCCAGCCCCACAACCACACCACCTTGGGATAAACACACCAAACCTAATTCCCACCGCCAGGTAATAAGTACGACTAAAAGTGGGAGTGTTGTGTACGTATGTAATTGTTTTATTTAAATGTTATATTACGATTAACAACTATTATTATTTGTAACTTTATGCAATAACGACTTAGACGACGATGCGCGGGTTCATATACCCGCACGAAACAAATATATAACCTACAAATAATCATTCCGAGTCCGCATGTTTGTCTTTTTAAAATTTATAGTAGTAATACGCCTTCACGACACATTTCTCGTGGGTAATAAAAAAAAGAAATAGTTCATTGCCTTCTTTACTATTACATGTCAAAAATTTCACTTGTAATCTAACCGACGGAAAACATGAATATTTCATCCATCCATCCATCCATTACAGTCTATGAAAATCCACTGCTGAACATAGGCATTCCCCATAGATTGCCTCATACGAAAAATTTTGCCATAGACTATGGCAAAATTTTTCCTAGGCGCCAGGCGTGCTCAACTATGACCCATAGTTGACCACGCCTGGCGAGCGGGTTGTCAAGCGCAGTTTTTTAACAGACTTCAAAAAGGAGGAGTTACTCAATTCGACGGTATGTTTTTTTTAATGTGGTTAACTCATAACTTTTTTCTGGGTGAAGCGATTTTGGTGATTCTTTTTTTATTTGAAACATATGGTCCCATATAAATTTGATCGATGTCTGACCAGTACTTTTTGAGTATTTTTATATTGAAGTCGGTTGTACAAAATTTTTAAATTATTATTTTGAGTTGTTATCAGAAAGACGCTGCTACCCATCACCTGATTCAGTTTCTCTCTGTCGCCCCTTACGACACCCACGGGACGATATGGGGCAGTGGATATTCTTACTTCACCGCCACTACAATATTTCGTTCCTTTTTTATATAGAATAGGGGGCAAACGAGCATGCGGCTCACCTGATGGTAAGTGACTACCGCCGCCCATGAACAACCGCAACACCAGGGGAATTGCAGATGCGTTGGCGGCCTTTTAGAAAGGTGTAAGCTCTTTTCTTGAAGGTTCCTAAGTCGTATCGGTTCGGAAAATTCGCTGGTGGTAATTGATTCCACAAAGAAGTTGTACGAGGGAGAAAACTTCTTCTAAATCGCACAGTGGTGGACCGCCAATCATCCAGATGGTACGGATGGTAACGCGAGTTTTGTCGCGACGTGCGATGGTGAAATTGAGCGGCTGGAATTAGTCCGAACAATTCCTCAGAGCACTCCTCGTGATAGATGCGATAAAATACGCAAAGAGATGCAACATCTCTACGCAGTGCCAGTGTATCGAGCTGATCGGAAAGAACTCGGTCGTCGACGATTCGAATCGCTCTGCGCTGGATGCGGTCAAGTGGAAGGAGCTGGCACTGGGGTGCCCCGGCCCAGAGATGAGAACAGTATTCCATGTGGGGCCGAACTTGCGCTTTGTAAAGTTGCAAGCGATGTGCCGGCATGAAATACTGTCTCGCTCTGCTGAGCACGCCACGTTCCTTGTTAATTAATAATCACTTAGTCATATTATTACATATATATTGACTTACAGGTACATAATATACTTAAAACATTTGAAATATAGATTCACTGACGCATAAACATGTTAATGTAAGCAATTCGAACTTAATCTAAACATTTTGGTTTAAGTGTTCCGCTCGTTTATCAAGTAAGAAACCATAAAAATAAAAACGTTAACAATATAAACAGCAGTCGTGCAGCGGTACCGCACTGAATTTATATAACAAAAAATAAACTTTTTAATAGGTTAAAGTTAAAGTCCCGTCTACAGAAGCTATTATGTGCTCATGAAATCTGATTTATTTTACCCTTTTGAATGTCTAAGAACTGATAAGAATATCTATTACCCCATATCATTCCGTTGGTGTCGTAGGAGGCGACAGAGGGAAACAAACTTCTTCCTGATCTGAATCTTCCTGATAACGACTAAAAATAAAAAACTGCGGTTGCCAAACCGCTTGCCAAGCGTGGCAACTATGACAAATATTCCCCCTATAATGCAATCTATTCGGGAGGCCTGTGTTCATAGGCTGTAACTGTAAGAACTGATACAAGATCAAGGTCTACTTGACTGTCGTCTAAACAGTTACATCAAAACTTCATCAACTAATTCTCCACCCTTACGGGTGAATATTTTTCTTTTTATATAGACCACCCTTGAAATATAATTTATTTTATAAACGAAGACTCATTAAAATCAGTTCATAAATAAAGAAATTGTGCCCGAACATACATAAAAAATATACGAAATTATAATCCTCCTACTCTTTTAAAGTCACTTAAGAAGTTGAAATATTACTCTTACTATAAACATTAACTATAAATGATAGAATGGGAAGTACATAATATATTGACGACGAGTGTCACATCGGTAGAAATTAAATTAAAGAACGAAATTGAATGATAATCACGAGCTCAGAAAACAGTTGTTAAAATAAACTTTTAATGTTTATTATATACCTATAAATGATGTGAAAATAGTTGTACAAATCATTCGATGTAACCTAACATATATTTAAACATTATTTTCCCACAGATGAAGTAATCTTTTATAAGTTTAAGTTGTTTTTTTCTACCGACTTCAAAAAGGAGACGGTACTCAATTAGACTGTATGTTTTTTTTTATGTGAGTTACCTCATAACCGATTTCGATGATTGTTTTTTATATGAAAGCTGATGGTTCTCGTGTGGTCCCATATAAATTTGATCAAGGTTTGACCAATAGTTTTTGAGTTATTCTTAATAATTTATATTAGTCGGTTGTACAAAATTTTTAATTTTTAATTATTCAGGATAATAACCTAAACATTACTTAAACCACATTCGTATTCAACAATAAACTAATACTAAAGTAAGTTTAACAAATAATTTCCACAAAACTAATGAAATGCATATGAGGGTAGCTAAATAAAGCTTCGTAAACACCTGCTGCAAGCTGAATATTTGAAAATATACAGTCTACTAGCGATCTGCCCCGTAGGCGTATTACGTATCTTGCAGAAGGCTAGCAATAGCAAAATTAGAATTAGAAATTCGCTAGCCTTCTGCAAGATGCGTAATACGCTTACCGGCTTAGCAGGTGATTTCTGTATCTCGACTTTTTTAAATATTAGTTTGTGAATCTAAGCCATCCACTCTAACATAGAAAAAAATTTCATCAATATCAGTCCAGCCGTTTAGGAAGAGTTCAGAGTAACTCAGTAACACGTACAAAATAATTATAATATATATACATCTTCACCCACAATCCCTGACGGGGTAGCCAGAGAGAACAGATCGCCAAGTGTCACGATCCTTACAAACCTCTTTCGCTTCTTTCAGATTCATCTTCTTCATACATGCACGTCTAGGTATCCGAGTACTCTTGACCCTACCCTCTTCGAGCAATTTGCTCACATGGTCTTCGAAAGTTAGTCTCGGTCTACCTCGACACCTTTTAATATTAACTTTTGCGCTATATATTTTCTTCACCATTCGGTCTTCACTCATTCGCTCAACGTGCCCAAACCACTATTACCAAACCAATTATAATATATAAAAAGATGTAAATAATAAGCCCGTGAGTTGTTACATTTTGACGCAGTTCGCTGTTTTTTTTTAAACCGACTTCAAAAAAAGGCGGAGGTTCTAAAGTCGACTGTTTTTTTTTTATGTGCGTTACCTCAGAACTATTTTCTACGTGAAATAATTTTGATGACTTTTTTATTTGAAATCTGGTGCTACTCATGTCCCCTTTATACATATTTGATCAATATCTGACCAGTAGATTTTGAGTTATCCTCAATAATTACTACAATTACTTACTTATTAATTGACTTCGACTACATTGATGAAATTTTTTTATTTTACCACTTGTATGGATAGAATGAAAATACTTCTGAAGCTTTCTTATTTATTAAATCAATATTAAAGCCTCAGCACACCACAGTTGGAGGCAGTAGAATAGCTGTGTTGCCTTTGAAGTACCGATACCTTAATGAAATAGAAAGTTTTAGATCATATCACAAAATGGTGGTGTTTTGAATAAAAAAAAAACAACACTCAAACGCCACATGCTAGGGCTTTTTCTTGTATGGGGGATTTGTTCCTGTAAATTAATTTAATAGTTTTCGGTAAAAATATACACCAATTAAAATTCTGTCTGTATTTCATTCCGTCTACAAGCAAGATCCGTGACACATCGATAGACAGACAGCGGAGTGACATTAATAAAACTCCGTTTTACCCATTGGGTAAGGAACCCTAAAAAGGAAACCCGTTCACTCCTAATTATTGCTCAGTTTAAAATCTTAAATAAGGCAGACTTTAGAAAAGATCACCTTATAAACCAAATAAAAATTAATGTAACACGAATACGTCCTTGATACAAATGCTCAGGCATATTCAATATAAAAATCTATGCTCATGATCTCCCACACATATCCGTCTGCGCTTATGGCCCCATTATCCCTTCTACATAGTGACGTTGTGACGGATCGTTTCTATGGTTTCTTTGTTCTCAATCGCTGCACATCGATCTGCAGATGTGCATGACACTTGTGTTAAACTAAGCTAAACCAATAAGTAAAATTAATGCAAAGTAATACTATGAACTGGTTATAGCCTCTGTGGATATATTTAAAAAAAATAATAATATTAAAATGTTATGTTAAACTAACAGATCGCTACATTTATATACAGGGTTAATTTTAAAAGAATAGCCAAAATTTAAACTTAAGTTCAAATATATAAATAATGATACACCATTATTGCAGTTTTTGAAAATACGAGTAGTTATTTAATAGTACTCGTACAAACTATTAGACTTTTTTTATAAACACAACCAACCGTAAAACAATAGCGACGGTAAATTCCAAATAAAACAATCATAATTAATTTTTAACATTTGAAGGATTATTAATTTAATTGTTCTCTGATCGTCAAAATTCCAGCTCGTCACAGTCTATAACTAAAGTATTTATCCATCCTAATATTATATTCACGCGCTTAGGGTTAATCAATGCAGTTTTCACGCAGGACTGTCGGATTACAAAAAAAAACGTTGTTTTAAAAGACATTTCAATAATTTCATTGTTTCTATTACATACAGTCCTTCTGCTCGTCAACCTAGTTGTAAAGACTGACAAGCCAACAGCGTACAATTTTTTTTTAAACTTGACTATATTACACACTCACCTTAGGCGTGTATCGAATCTCAATACTCACTACAATAGCAAATTATGAACTCAAAACTTCAACCATGATTTGAGAATAAGTTGCTTTAGTAAACTTCGAAGCATCGATTAACATTAAATTAAATATTCACAGTGTCATCGGGCATGCAATGCTACCGGTGTGACCCGGAGCGAACGTACGGCAACGAGGATATACTGTGTGAACACTTCGACCGTAGCGAGAGATACATCACCAACTGCGAACATTCCACTATGTGCTACAAGAGGGACACGTCTCTGGATTTGGGGAACGGGTGTAAGTTATAAAGTTAAAACGGTTTTGATTTTATTTACAAATAAAAATTTTAAGTATATTGAATGAATGAATTAAGATCATATTATATACCCTTTTAGATGAGCGAGACACGTAATAGTACATGCATTATCAGTGGTATATTTAAGGGACAAGTTAGTCACAAAAACGTATTACGTATATATGAAACAGTCAAGATTTTATTTCTGTTTTACCACTTCTCCTAACTTGTAGTAGAGACGTTCCACTGCTGGACACAGACCTTCTCACGTTTCTAAGAGTGCTAAAGGCAAGGAACTGTCCGACGCGCTGCCCTAATGCGTGTTGGCGGACTTCACATGTCTTCTAAATATTTTTTTTTTATTTCTCAGACATGCAAATTGTCTCACGATGTTTTATTTTTCAGCCGAGCACGTGGTAAATCGGCACTTAAAATTGCAATTAACAGTTTCATTTGAGTCGGCGGCTATCGACCCCCCGGGTTGCTCGCATACTGAGAAATTTACAGAGAACGCGTAAATATTCAATGAATAATAATACTTACATTAAACCGTAACATTAGGAGCGATTAATGAAACACTGCATAAACAATTTAAGCACACATTTCAGACACAACTTAAAAAGCTTTTATTCGTATAATATGTGAGTGAAGCCCTTGCTGGATGAAATGTAAGCAAGAAAATTGAAACGATCGTTATCAATCATAGCTATCCATCAAAGTTCTTGTTTCAGGAGAGTCTATACAAGCTTGACGTATGTATGAAATTAAAAAATCAAAATAAATCGCAACCATAGCCATAGTAACGATTGCCAAATATTTATTTGCATAATTCATCATAGTTACTCTAACAATATATGTATTGTATTTTTTGTAAATGAAGGTGAATCATTTTACACATAGACTTAAGGTCGTAAGTTACACCTTGTAACATCTTTGCAATTACTATGATGATGTAACAATAAATAAAATACAAACTTTTTTTTTTATAGGATAAGGGTGACAAACGAGCACACAGTCCACCTGATGGTAAGTGGTTGCTGCGGCCCATAGACATCTACATCTATCCTCTGTTACAAATCAAAATGTAGATGCGTTGTCACCCGTGAGGACTAAGATGGAATGCCTCATTTCCAGTAAAAAGGGCCTCCGGCCACCTGCACTCACCAAGCGAAACGCAGAGGTAAACCTCTACTTCACGCTGGTTTTCTGTGTGGTCGTGGTACTACCCCGGTTCGAGTCGGCCCATCCGTGCGACAGCAAAAGCTGCCGCGTGGCTCTACCAAGAACTGTTTACTATTTTAATAAAAGAAAATAAAAAAAATATCGGTAAATGTCCTTATCAGTTTTCTTATTCTTATAGATTATTTATCTGCCGCTATTTAAATGAAACTAGAAAAACTGAAAAAAACGGTTATGTAAAAGTTACGTACGTGGTGACCTACTAAAAAGTTCTTAATATTGACCTTAATCCATAATATCACTGGCTCAATAGGTTAATAAAGCCATATTAGTCAGGCATTCATTACGTTACCGACTCTACACGAACCTTGATACTTCAAGCTGTGTTGGGCAATATTCATGCTGCATATAGCTTTAACTTTGATTGGGTACTTTCATCATATCGAGTTCGGCATGTGTGTAAAACGGCAATGGTATGTTGTTTAAGGAATCTTAAATTGATGTTGCAAAGTAGCAACAAGCAATTCTAGTAATGCGCAGCTCGTATGCGTTGCAGCATCGCCTATTTCTTTATAACTGTACTAGCTGTTCCCCGCGACTTCGCTCGCGTGTTAGGGTTTTTATGTTTTTGCGCGGAACCCTAATTATTTTTCTAAAAATAAAAGTAGCCTAAGTTACTCCTTATGAAATCGGCTATCTGCCAGTGAAAGCCCCGTCTAAATCTGTCCAGCCGTTTTGGAGATTACCCGGAACAAACAGACAGACAGACAGACAGACAGACAAAATTTTTAAAAACTGTATTTTAATTATAAGTACCGTATTTACTTTCATATGCATTTAAAACTGTAATTTTGACATTACAAACAGACACTTCAATTTTATTTATTTGTATAGATATAGATATAGTGTCAAACGAACCAGCAGTCCGTTACCGTTACCGTTACAGCTTACTCATGTTCACTGATGAACATAGGTCTTCCCCATAGATTGCCTCATAGGGGGGATAATTGCCCTAGTCGTCACACTTGGCAAGCGAGTTTTTTACGTGGTAGGGCAATGCTGCAGCTATATTAGTAGTATTGTTGCAGCACGAATGGTTTGGCTCAACCGGGGAAGGACCACGCTCTCACAGAATACCAGCGTAAAATAGCAGCTTAACACTGCTGTGTTTCGTACGGTGAGTGTAGAGAACCGGAGAACCTTTTTACTGGAAAAAAGGCATTCCATTTTAGTCCTCACGGGTGACAACGCATCTGCATTTATCTATTGAGGATAGATGTAGATGTCTATGGGTCACAGCAACCACTTACCATCAGGTGGACTGTGTGCTCGTTTGTCACCCTATCCTATATAAAAACGCATTTTTTTTTAATTTTTAGTCGTTATTAGAAAGACGCTGCTGCCCATATTCTGATTTGTTTCCTTCTGTCGCCTGGGTGTCGTATACCCACGGGATGATAATTATGAGGTATTGGATATTCTTACACCACCACTACACGGTGTCAGTAGTCGGCAATTACAACTCACGAACACCAAATACCAACTTCAAACAAAGAAGGATTAAGGTGGTATTACACAGAGCACAGCAGTGAATACAATGTTGTTAAGGTTATAGTGCGATATCAACCCAGAATGCTAGACAATAAAGGGCTTAACCACCTAGCGCTTATTTCGAAACCTATACCCAACAGTATTTTATATACACGACAATGACAAATAAACAGTGATTTATTTAAAAACACATGTCAATGTAAGTAGCATAATAATATTTATCGTGTCGTTGCTTTATAAGCTCGTGAATAAATTACAGCTCGTTAAAATATAAATATCATTGATTACTATGCTTTTACGTATGTACACTCAAACTATGAAGTGAAGTGGTAAGCAGTGTAAGGATATCCACTAATCCAAATCGTCTCATAGGCGTTGTAAGAGGTGATACGGGGAAACAAACCAGGAGATCAACAGAAGCATCTTCCCAATAACAACTAAAAATAAAAACTGGGGTTGCCAACCCGCCTGCCAAGCGTGGCAAGTATAACAAATATCCCCTCTATAAAGCAATCAATGGGGGAGGCCTTCGTTCAGCAGTTGCTTTTTATAGACTATAACGGTAATGGTAACAGTATGAAGTTCGTCCTTATGACAAAGTATTTAGAAGTAATTGGAAGTAAAGACTAGAAATGAGTTGAGGGGTGACTCGAACATTAGGCCTAGTTAATTTGAATAGCCTACCATGTACCAGTGGTAATCAAACAAAAGAGTGACTTTCAATAAGTATTATTTATAATCTATATTGAATAAAAAAGTTTCTGTTTCTGTTTCTGTAGAGGATGTCATGAGGGTCATGGTTGAATAGGGGCAAAAAGTTCTTATTACTCTCCTAAAGGGTCAAATTGGCCAAAAACCAAAAAATTGGGGGGTGGCTCGAACTTTAGGCCTAGTCCGTTTGAATAGCCTATCGTGTAGAGGATGTCAGGGGGATCATAATGGCCGAAAACCAAAAAATTAAAAATTCTTATTTCGGCTATAAATCCGGCTCCTTTGGAAGTTCTTACACAGTTTTTACTTCCAGCATCCCACTTGTTATTTTATACAAGTGTGAATGACAAACGAGAGCAATAATTCCACCTCGTGGTAAACGAATACTTTAGCCCGTAATCCATCCTCAAGAGACAGCTGCAACATAGCTCTAACACGTATATGTATAATAACAATAATATAATTTATTTACTTCCAAATATAAATTAACATAATAGATAGAGTAGACATAGGTGTAATAATGTAACCTTAAGTAATCACGGCCTAAAAATAAAATAAAAACATACACTTAAAAAATTTAGGAATAAAAATAAAACTACGACACATAAGTAAATAATATTAATCAGACGAAGGTTTTGCCGAGCTACGTTCTTTGATTTAGGTGTAAGATGGTGTATCGTGATATCCAATACAGATAATAAGATTAAAAATAAATAAACTAAACCACAGATATTCATAAAAGTAGAAAAATTTAAAAAAAAAGTTAAAAATGTGCAAAAAATTAAAGAGCAAACCACTGACGCATTGTGTATTAATATAATAATCAAGAAACTGATAAACTGTTATTAAAAACCAACTTCTCAAGTAAATGACATTGTGAAACAAAAACTTTACTTCAGTGTCAACTAGCGACACCTGGTGAGCAGAAAATTATTAGTCTTCATTGGTAACTGAAACGGCTCTAACGATTTAGATGAAATTTTACATTCGGACGAAACATATTTTCTAAGTTTATCTAGATAGTTGTCATCCCTGAGAATATTATAACTCTTTCTAATATCGAACAAAACTCGATCGTACAGGTACAATATAATAATACGCGATCAGCATAAGAATACAGCAAGCGCCGAATACTGTTCAATTCTGTTAATTGTTCGAGCACGAAAAAATAACGTGAGGGGGTTGCTTAATTGATGACCTAACAGAACGATTACTCAATGACTTCATGCTTATAATCAATCAATAATAAGGCCACAGTTCTTTTCAATGCAACAACAAAACACACACACACATATATATATAATTTAAAGCCTAAAACCTCAACCAGGCATGGCTTGTTTCCCTTGGAGATTTCTATAATAACGACACGTCAGACCAGACTATGAGCACTGTGTGCGGACACTGGTGGACGCAGGCCTGTCCCAATGCGTACTCAAGTTTCAATACGATGTTTCCGTTCACCGTCACACATGTGGTTTAACTAAACCACGTATAGATAATATTTTGATATGGTACGAGTGACAAACGAGCGCAAACTCTACTACCTGATGATAAGGGAATGCCATGGCCTATAGAAATCTACATTTATTCTTGACCAACGATCCACCCCGGCTTCGCACAGGTGATTTCTCGTTCTCGAAAACAGCTGAACCTACACGATCCAATTGTGAATCTAAACCATCTAGGGACACACTCAAATACACACACACACAAAATTTCATCACAATTGGTCGAGCCAGTATCGAGTTTTAGCTAGACTAACGGACACCAACGGATTTTTATATATAATATATATGTATATTAAAATCGATTGAATGCATATGCGTTGACACCCCTGGAAACTAAGATAGAATGCTTCGTTACCAGTACAATGTCTCAGATTCTCGTCACGTAGTACCATCACGTACGTCCTCCTGCACGATTTCGACCTCGGCATTATATCAGAATCTTTCACCTGCGCAGGATATGTTAGAGTAACGAAAGTGTACGCGCCAACACACAGGCAACTCACTTGTCCCAATCTGTAACCTTCATGCAAAAAGGAATACTAAAACGCAAACAGAGGTTTTTTGAAACAACGCAATTTTTTACACGTTGTCCCCTCACCTTACTTTGTCCGAGTAGGTGCATAAATACCACATCGAAACCTAAAATCCAATGATTCCGTGATTGTTGCTAACTATAAATCCATAACTTAGCAGACAATTTCAATGACTACATGTCCTATCTTATAAAACGAAAGTACACAGACATCTACAAAAAATATTTTGCTTGTGACAAAGTTTCTTAATGGATAGCTTCTCTTTCAAATTTTAGGAAATATGTTTAAAAAATTGGGTAGTTAAAACCAACTGGTACAAAAGAACCATCACGTAGCTGGCAAGAAACATCCAAAACGAAGTGGATTTCATATAATCCATATTATGAATACAAACAAAGAAAAACAGATGTTTTTTTGCATTATTTAAGTTTAACATCTGAGTCTGATATTAATAGTAGAAGTAAAGAACTTAAACAACACACATTCAGAGAGAACACTAGGTCGTAGTCATGAAATTATTGTACTGTCTGAATCTGAACACGTCTGCAAAGGTTTCAGATTATTTAGACATTCATATGTGCATGCATACATACGACCTGTATGTATCGCTTTAAGTTAATATGAAGGGAGTAAAAAGACTTTATATTTGAAAGGATTGTATCTCTTTTCGTGAGCATATTTATCTGACAAGTAGGTGGTACCCGGTGCGTTGCATCCGCAGAAGAAATAATTACGGAAATATCGTTTTAATACTGTTTAATTGGGAATGATAATATACATTCATTGAAGTTGAATGATATATTATAACGTTCAAATAAATTTGTCAGTACGACACGCGCGCCACCTACTGTAAGTTAATTGTATTATGCCTGTAGTAACCTCCGCACAAGTGCAAGCAATAAGTTGACAAAATTTTACCGCAATCTGATGAACAGTATGGCAGCGCATAAAATACGAAAAAACAAATATTAATTTTTATATATTATAGTATCTGAAAGTCTTGATTAACATATTCTCTGCAGACCTCTCAGTTATTCAATCATAAAATAAAAACTAGCCATATTCATATTATTACGGCTGCGTAAAGAAAAAAAAATATAAAAAAATTACATAGGTTTTGACGACAAAGGTAATGTAAATCTAATACTCATGTTTATTTATAGTGAGCACAACAACGACACAACGAGGCTGCGCTTTACAAACTATGAGCGGAGACCAAGCAAAGATTAACGGCAAATGGCGACCAGTCAACACCATCTACGATGTGTACAATGAGGGGTGCGCTGAGGACCCCAGTGATATCGAACGCGCTACAACAACAGTGTACTGCTATTGCCGCGGTGATCTGTGCAATAGTGCCGGAAAACATTATGCTAATCTATACGTACTCTTAACAGTAATAATCGGTTTATTTATTAGTTAATATTACCAAAATTTAGGTATTTTTAATTTTCCCAAAAAGTGTAGTAGGAGACGACAATATGACGTAAAGAATCAAAGAGCTTATTATTATTTTGATATAGAAATCTTGTTTGTATGTAGTCGATTTATTCTATGGAGTTTAAAATAATATGTCATGAAAACCAAAGCAAATGTAACGAAAGTTTATGTACATATTAAGAAAGTTTTATTATTATCTATTTGAAATTAGTTACCTTTGTATTATTGTATTTATATATATATATATATATGTTGTATAGAATGTAAGTAATAAGTAGCATAAGGCAATAAAAATTTGGCTTTAGCCTTAAACTTGAAAAAGCTTAAAATAATATAAACAATTCATAGAAGTGTACTTGGCAACAATGAAAAAAGCTTACTTCCGCTTTAATTTTTCTATGGGAATATTTGTCCTGAATGACAAGTTTGTTCTTAAATTTCAGTTAAATGTGATAACATATTTTTGTAAGTAAAATATACCAAATTTATAAAAGACCATAGATTTCTTTTATTTCGATTCATGAAAAACCCTTGAATACTTTTTATCAATAAAAATATTATGTTGAGCCTATATTTCCACGAACGATCGCACAACGCATAATTAATCTTTATTGTGGTTTTTGTGTGATGACCGCGTAAGGAAATTCTCAATTTGACATTCGTGGGTATCATAATTCGCGATTATGGTAGATATCAGAAAATCTTATGAACCCCGATAGAAAACGGTAACACTATCTCGAATATAAGATGCCAAATATAAAATTCATTGACCAGCGAGCGGTAGCTGTGATAACAAGTGGTAATATCAAAAAATTTGTACAACTATATACTATACTAGGTACTAGTTATATGGGACCAAATGAAAAGCACCAGCTGTCAAATAAAAAAAAAGAAACAGCAAAATCAGTTAATCTAGAAAAAAGTTATGAAGTAACACACATAAAAAATACAGTCGAATTGAGTACCTTCTCCTTTTTTGAAGTCAGTTAAAAATGGGATACTGCGTACACCAATCCGCTTGTGCTAAGCGTTAATTTTGCATTCCTACAATGGAAGAGGGCCATCATGTCCTGCATTGAACAACAGCGGCGAACTGATGAAGGAGTTTTCTTTTTTTACGGAAAGCGCTAACGTTTATTTACAAAAATATTTCTTGTAACAAAGTTAATGACTGCCAAATGAATTGTCCTATCTATCAAAAATATTGATGTCGACTAATCCAGATTGTCGTGTATAATGGGTGCAGCTTTATAATATTTTTAGCTATAATTATACATAGCACAGCCATTTTGGTCGCAAGACTGTGCATAACAACCTTTAAAATAAATCACAAATTATTAAGAAAGTAACAAAAGACAGTAATATTTAAAACAAGAATCACACAAATGTTAGCTCTACGATTTTTGTTGCAAGGTAAAAGCACATCCATATTACAATGTTATGTCTAAATTGGTAACGATTGTTCATGCCCTATTTACTGTTTTGGAAACCTGCATCTTCTATGTTTCACTGAAATTGAACGGTCTTTTCTGTAAACGCATATAAAAAGATTTACGTTCACTGATATTTCTGCTATTTCACACTGTTTCTCTAAGATCATTCCTCTGTAAACTGACCAGTATTTTAGTGTGTTTAAATTATTAATAAAATCAACCATGTTTTTTTATAAACAAATCTGTTAAAGATTGCGTAAGACATACACATATGTCGTCTAGACTTAACGCTTAACTCGACATGTGTTATTACAAGTGGAAACAAATTACGTTCGAAATTCTACTAAAACATTCGAATTACTTTTCAATTACTTGTAAAAGCATTCAATTGAACTCGAAAATAATAAAAGACTTAAAACAAAAAAAAATATTTAAATTATTTATCACGACACGACAGGTATAGAACCGCGAAGATAAAAACGTTACGATTAACATGGAAACCTTGATAGCGTAAATCATTTCACTGCGGAACTGCGAGTTCGAATCCCGTACAGAATAAGAATCTGTATAGTCAACAAATAATTGTTTTGAGATAATGTTTATGTGCTATTTATGTAAGGAAAACGCCTTCACGATACAGAAGAAAACTGACACATAACTTAATCTCTCAGGCATTTCTACGATTTGGACGACTGTTATGCAGAAATATTCATCATCATCATTACAGCCTTTCGTAAATCCACTGCTGAACATAGGCCTCCCCCAAGGAATGCCACAAAGCACGGTCTTGAGCCACCTGCATCCATCAACTTCCTGCATGTCTTACCAGGTCGATACTCCTAGTGGGAGGTCGCCCTACACTTCGCCTACCAGTACGAGGCTGCCACTCGAGAACCTTTCCTCCCCATCGGTTATCGGTTCTTCGAGCTATATGGCCGGCCCAATGCCACTTCAGCCTACTAATCCGTTGGGCTATGTCGGTTACTCTGGTTCTACTGCAGATATCGTCATTTCTAAGTTTATCACGCAGAGAAACTCCGAGCATAGCCCTCTCCATAGATCGCTGAGCGACCTTGAGGTTCCTCATACGGCCTGCAGTGAAGGACCAGTCTCAAATCCGTAAGTCATCACTGGCAACACGCACTGGTTGTACAATTTCGTTTTCAAGTTTTGAGGTATGTCTGACAAAAAGATGTGTCGTAGTTTCCCGAACGCTGCCCAGCCGAGTTGAATCCGTCGATTGACCTCTCGATCGAAGTTGGACTTACCTAGTCGGACTATTTGTCCCAGGTAAACATACTCGTCAACAACTTCGAGCTTAGTGCTCCCAACAACTACCGGCATAGGTGTGACATGGACGTTAAACATGATTTTTGTTTTGTCCATGTTCATCTTAAGACCTATCCGTTGGGAGACACTATTGAGGTCATTGAGCATAGTGCTTAGGTCCACCAGCGATTCTGCCATAAGGACTATATCGTCGGCAAATCGAAGGTGAGTGATGTACTCGCCATTGATGTTAATACCGTATCCTTTCCAGTCCAGTAGCTTGAAAACGTCTTCCAATGCAGCGGTGAAGAATTTCGGGGATATAACGTCACCCTGTCTTACACCTCTCTGCAGTTGGATAGGTTTCGTACTCTGATTCTGTACTCGGACAGCCATCGTAGCCCTACTGTACAAACACTTCAGCACTTCGATATACCTACAGTCAACTTGGCACCGCTGAAGGGACAGAAGAAGGGAAATATTCATAAAATTTGTAAAATATCCAAAAAAGTCTTATAGACTAAGCACAACATTAAAATGTGAGTCAGTTCTAAACATTAAAAAAAAACGTATTTCCTGTGATTTTATATATTACCATGATTTTAAAACTATACCAAGGGTTAGATTACTTCCATGCTTTTAATATTTTTTCTTATTTCTCAATATGTCACAGTACTTTCAAATACGCAAAGATAAAGGTTTTAATAACTTCTAACTTAATTCCTCAAAGTCAGAGGTGACAACGCAGTTGTAGCAACAACGTATTCCTTTGTTTAAAGTCGGCTGCAGTAACCACTTACCATCAGATGTGCAGTAGTATAATTTCGTTTATCACTTCAGTTTTATAAATGAAAACTCAGTATCAAAAGGCCACTAAAGGAAATATAAATCATGATTTTTATACTAATCGAATAATAAAATATATTTGTATTCATGTGCATGACGTTACATCCGTATACATAATAAATAAATTTTTATCATTCCTGCACCCATCAATCTAGTATAGGGCTAATACCATTTACAACAAACGCCTATTCAATTTGAATTCAATCCACGTATTTTGGTCTAGAGTCTAGACGAACCATTATTTTAACAGCGCCGGCATTCTTTTTAGTTTCGTTGGTGTGGTGACGTCAGCTATTGTTTCGATCCTGCAGGGCTATTCACAATCGTCTCGGAAAGCGAAATCGACTCGGATTCGATAACTTCTCGCACCGAAACCAATAAACGCTATTAACATTTAACGTTCGGATAAAGGTCACTTAGATACATCCTATAACTATTGTATCGTCATTTAGTTACATGCATTTACGAATTTTGTAGATAAATAGGCTTTTGTAATTTTTTAGAGTAACGCCTGCACAAAAACATAATGCAATATTTTGGAGTTATCCATTGATATCGAATATAAAAAATATATAATTTAACTATATAATAAATAACAAAAAAACTGAGATATGTCTCGTTTCTTTCGGGTCTGGGTTTTTTTCTATGGGGCGTTCTTTGACGTTTGTTTTCGATAATTGTGACAGTTTGCATCGGAAACTTTACGAGAGCTCTGAGGCTGGCGAAAACTTTTCGAATATTGATGATTAGAAGAGATAAATAAACCCTTTTAATTATAAGGTAGGTAACAAAAATTAATTACAATTATCTATAAGACGTATTTTCATATAATTACTTCAATATTTGCACTTAATCGTAAAGCTGAATTTTTGTGAAAGGTGTGTTTTTATAAGTTTTCTATCACAAATATATATATATGCTGCTTTGTGAAACGAGACATATCTCAGTTTTTTTGTTATTTATTATATAGTTAAATTATATATTTTTTATATTCGATATCAATGGCTAACACCAAAATATTGCATTATGTTTTTGTTTAGGCGTTACTCTAAAAAAATACAAAAGCCTATTTATCTACAAAATTCGTAAATGCATGTAACTAAATGACGATACAATAGTTATGGGATGTATCTAAGTGACCTTTATCCGAACGTTAAATGTGAATAGCGTTTATTGGTTTCGATGCGAGAAGTTATCGAATCCGAGTCGAATTCGCTTTCCGAGACGATTGTGAATAGCCCGGCTGGTTTCCGTGAGAGAAGTGTCCTTGTCCTTGGCAACGATATAATTGGAAGCTATTAAGAATAAAAATCGAAAACAGGTATTCATCAATTAGAACGTGATCAATATCAAAAACTCATGAGGAAATAGATTTTATATACATAACTACATCTATAATAGTTGTCCTAAAAGTTTTGTGTCGGAGAATAGAACA